TTGTTAGTTTTTTCAGATGTATTTTTATTCTTTGCTGTACCTTGGTACACATATCGAGGTATGTCTGTGTTGATGTAATGTCAATTTTGTTATATTATTGCTTTGTAAAGTCTAGATAGACAACAGTGTTGGCATTAATCAGCAATGCTTCTTTGTTGCTCCATACAATTATATTCGGTTAACATTATTTCACACAGTCAATCTCTCCTTCACATCTATGAGAGCAGGGTGCAGATATTCTATCAATAACAAAGAAGATTTAATACCTTTAATGGTAGCATGGTAACTCATGTACTGCTTGGTGCATGGATCATAGATTTAAATTAGATCAGATCAATATTGGAGTACAAAGCATGTGAAGGCTGCAATAAGCTGTATCTAAGAAACATCAAAACTGGGCTAAATAATAAAATGGAGTGTCTTTTTACTGTCTTTACAATGTTTATGGCCTGTTATGCAGGTAATATTGTGGAGTCAAAGAGTAACCAAAATCCTCAATGTAATTACATCATGAATTATAAAAGGTTGTATATCTATCGATGGATCAATCAATCTATCTATCTTAAAGGAATATTTTTAAATTTGTTAATTTTTATTTGTTTACACCAAAGTTAATATTCCTTTTTCTTGCTTCACTCCCTTGGAATCTCTAGACGCCAATTGATTTCTTCATGTTACATTCCCCTCCCCATATTAATACTCCTTGTTATAAAAGTTTTTCAAAACATGGCCCCTTCTCCATTTTGTTATATTAATTTCACTAATAAAGATATTAAAATACATTGAGTACAATTAGAATTATTTATATAGCATCAACATATTTCAAAGCAGTAAAAAATTAAATCATCAGCAAAAACAATATCATAGAAGTTTCATAAGTGCACTTAAAGGACCACTATAGTGCCAGGAAAACATACTCGTTTTCCTGGCACTATAGTGCCCTGAGGGTGCCCCCACCTTCAGGGTTCCCCTCCCGCCCGGCTCTGGGGAAAGGAAAAGGGTTAAACTTACCTTTTTTCCAGCGCCGGGCGGGGAGCTCTCCTCCTCCTCTCCGCCTCCTCTCCTCCCCTTCGGCTGAATGCGCACGCGCGGCAGGAGCTGCGAGCGCATTCAGCCGGTCTCATAGGAAAGCATTTACAATGCTTTCCTATGGACGCTTGCGTGTTCTCACTGTGATTTTCACAGTGAGAATCACGCAAGCGCCTCTAGCGGCTGTCAATGAGACAACCACTAGAGTCTTTGGAGGCTGGATTAACCCATTTATAAACATAGCAGTTTAATCCTAGAGGGACCTGGCACCCAGACCACCTCATTAAGCTGAAGTGGTCTGAGTGCCTAGAGTGGTCCTTTAGTGTTAAACAACAGAGTTCCTCCCATGACCACATCACTCCCTGGTGGTGTATGTAAGCCACTATCAGATCTGCTTCTACACTATCTCAGATCACTTCTGCCTGCTTCAGATGAACTGTATAGAGGGTAGTGGGATACAAAGCAAACTCCTATATTACAAAGGGAAATGCAAGATGTCAAACACTCTAGTTATGAAATTGAAAGATTCATTTCAAAACCAAATGTTTAAATGATCACTATAGGGCCAGGAACACAAACATGTATTCCTGACCCTATAGTGGTAAAACAACGATCTAGCCCCCTTGGATCCCTCATGCCTTCATAAATATTGTAAAATCTTACTGTATTCAAGCCTGAAGCTGTAGCTCTGCATGCTGTTTGACTCAGAAAAACAAGCAGTCTGCTGACATCATCAGAAGTGGTAGCCTGGTCCAATCACAATGCTTCCCCATAGGATGGCTCAGACTGACAAGGAGGCAGATCAGGGGCAGAACCAGCACAATTCAAACACAGCCCTGGCCAATCAGCATCTCCTCATAGAGATGAATTGAATCAATGAATCTGTATGAGGAAAGTTCAGTGTCTGCATGCAGAGGGAGGAGATCCTGAATGTTTGGATGCATTTTAAGCAGCCATGACCCAGGAGGGATCTCTTACAGCCATCTAAGGAGTGGCCAGTGAAGTTATCACTAGGCTGTAATGTAAACAATGCATTTTCTCTGAAAAGACAGTGTTTACAGCAAAAAGCCTGCAGGTAATGATTCTACTCACCAGAACAAATTCAATAAGCTGTAGTTGTTCTGGTGACTATAGTGTCCCTTTAATGTTATTAACGTTGAACATTTCTTACAACTTGGGTTGAGAAATTGTATTTTTTTTACATAGCATTCCACGAAAGGGTTTACAAAAACTCTGTAGCTACAGCTATACCTAACGCTTTGCCCCGTTTATCGCACATACTTTCCCCAGATAGATGTTGCTTTCCTGTTGAAACTTTAAATTGTTGTAGTGTGTGTTTAGTTTTACTGACTGAATATTTATGGGCAAGCATAAAATAATTATTCACCACAACGAGTTTGATGTTAGTCATTAAGACATAGTATTACAGTATCAAACACAAAATTTATCAGTATGGATTAATATTATGAAAGAGATACTTTTAGCTAGGTTAAACAGACTAGAATTCTATCTCCATTGTATTGGGTAAGATCTCACAGAATTGTGATTGTATTTCACCTAGCCTTTACTACGGTAAAACCGTTGTGGTGAATAATTATTTTATGCTTGCCCATAAATATTCAGTCAAAGACATTCTAGAAACTCCAAAATTACTGGTTCAGTAATCTCAGATAAGGAACAGATTTCTATATTGTGAACAATTTTGAATGTTTCAACATTATTTATATATTTTATTTTATTTTACAATTTTCAAATCTTTGGTATGAGAAAAGCAATAAAAATCAATAGTTATAGCTACAAGCAATTAGAGGTGTTATAAATTTGAAAATAGTAAAGAAAGGGATATTTAACCCCGCTACTTATATATCACTTATATATCACCTCAGGTAGAACGCTTTCCAGTGGAAAATAACATGCTGAGACACATGAAAACATTGTACTATATATGCTAGAATATCAAATAATAAAAGCATGTTCATCTTTTGAAAAACTCTGTAGTTGGTGAATTAAATAAAACTGATGTAAAACAAATGCACAATGATCTTTAAATATGAACTTCTACATAACTCTCCATAAATTGAAAAGTAAGAACTAAAATAATTATTTAAAACAATGCTGAATCATCATGACTGAAATCAGTTGAAAATGTGAACCTGTCGTGACTGATTAATTTACAATATTGCTCACACAGATAAATTAAATATTTCATTATTTTAGAAACTGTTATGTCAGTACTCAACTACTCTCTAGCCATGACTACAATGCCGTGACGAACGGTCTTGGCCCTTCCCCTTCCTTCTAGATTGGCTCTACTTGGAAACTACAGAACACACTGTATACATGCTATATGTATACATATATTGCCACAAAAACTGGTGACCCTATGGAGTAGACTTCACTGATGTGCATAGTAAATTGCTATCAATAGAGGACACCCACCACAACAATGGATTCACTAATTTATTTACATCCCATGCCAGAGAAGCAGACCATATACATTACAGTAATAGAGAACATAAGCATAAAACCATCATGAGTACTTGCAGTAATCTTAATATAGACTTGTCACAATGCACATTCCTTTCCTATTTCCAGAGATGTGGCAAGCAGATTTGCTACAAATTTGAAGCAAGTTAACAAAATTTGCAGAGAAAATCTTCACGTTTGTGGCAAGTTATTCTTGCAATCTCGCATTTGGATTCAGTTTTGGATATTAAGCTAGGAATTAAGAACCATTTGAATAGAACATGTAAAGCCTAAAACATGTAAAGAAGATGTTGGTAAGCATCTCTGAATTTTATAACATGACAGGAGGCTTCGTATTTGCTTAAGTCTTTCTTTACTTAAGCTTCACAGCAGCACTTTTTTACTTAGTAACAGGGTAACCAATCAGAAAAAATAGAAAACAAGGTATAAGAGTGCCACTGCCTCTTACTTTCTGTGGGTTATTTACTCTCTTAGTTACTCTCTTATTTATTTACTCTTATTACTCTTTGTTTTACTTAGCTGTATTTCCCATACTTAAGCTATATACTTATTTTCCTATTTCTAAGGTGTTTGTCCCCACCTTAGCTATCTTTCTAAAAGTTTTCTCTTAGCTTATTCTCTATTACTGCCTATTTTCTCTATTTTATTCCTTTTTATACTGTCCCTTGCGTTCCGTTTTCGTTTTCTATGCATTTTTATTGTTTCTCTTACTTTCATTAGTCCGGATTGCGGTCGGCATATTCTGCCCCGTTTTTCCCGGGCTTTTGGGCTGTGGAGAACGCCTCCAGCGGCCCTGAGTGCGCACGGCGGCCATCTTGGATCTTGCGCATCTTCGCGAGATCCGAACGGCCATTTACACCTTGTGCGCATGTGCGAGATCGTGGCAGCCATTTTGTTGGAGCCGCGATCGGTGCTCATTCTAGCCGCACGGCGGCCATTTTAACTGCTAATCGGCAGTACTGAAATAACTTTCACATATACACATATATAAGTTCATTAACTTATGTTCTCAAGACAATATTTCCTCACAGAGCAGAATTTGTTTTTCTCAGAGATACTTCACTCTGTAATTCAGTTCAGGAGAATTTTTTCGCTTACACTACTCCCCCTGGTGGTGAATTAAAAGTACTACATTTACCAATATTATTATGAATTTATGTTAAACTACTCATTACTTTTATGTTGGGAGCAACCCCAATATCAGTCAGCTAAATATTTATCACATTAAGATTTTTCTAAGGGTAAATCCCTATATATAATTTATGATTGCTGTTATATTATACAGCCCATGACTGGCCCACTTTTGTTTGTGCCACCATACCTCTACACAAGTTTGAATAAGCACTCTCTGAGGTTATTGTTTCTGGGTGACCCCCATTTACAGCTTGCACTGTTGAAATTAAATATCTTGTGATATACAAGACGGCCCTAAAATATATTCTAATGCTGGCCTATTCTGCCCCATAGGTACCAACACTGTTGCCATGGAGGTTTCAAACCAAGACCAAAACCTGCAAGCGATTATAAACGCCGCTGTTGCTGCTTCACTAGAAAAGACCCTTGCTTGGGTGCTGCCCATTGAGCCCAAAGATACCAAAATTTCGGAGCCCCCGCACTCTGATGAAGAGGCGGATGATTCCGATTCTACAAAAAGGAACCCTTCCAAACTCAATAAACGATATTGGAAAGGGGATGGGCCAGAATCACTCAGATGCAAAGGGAAAGAACCGGCGAAACGCCCAAAACAAGTGGACGCCAAAAAAAACCACTCCATACAACCTACTTTGTCGGAGGAGGAAGACGACTCTTTCGACTCACACCCATTGGCCATTCTAGATGAATGGCAAGCTGGCCACTCTTCAGAAGACGAAGAAGACTGGCCTGAGACATCTTTCAGAGAAGCACTTTTCCCTCAAGATATCACGGGAGACCCCACAACGGAGGATTCAGTACCCGAAACCTTTCTGGATACGCTTGGTGAACCCCTATTTGACCCGCGACAGATCAGATACCCTCGATCTTCAGAATGGTCACTCCCAAATCACCTTTCACAATATATCCATTTCTGGATAAGGAGACCTCTAGACCGGGAGGTCCGCAAACGCCTAAGAGCTGAATGCCCTAGGCCTACTTTGCCGGACAAGGTCGCTATGACCCCGGAGTTTGATTCACTGCTCTACACATATCTAGCTAGATCTGGCCGTGACCCAAAAAAGGGCATTGAACACAGCCTACGCCTCACCCAGGACAAGATGTTAGATGTCCTGGGGCCCCTGGCAAGAATTCTGTGATCAGAGAATGGGCACTACGCTCCATTTGCCTGCTGGGCAATGCAAATACACCCCTCTGTACCGAGCGTAGAAAAGCAGTGCTGCTGCGTATGGATGCCAAACTAGCCGACCTGGGGACCAAAGAGTTGGGCCCCAAGGCCAAGGGTCTATTATTTGGAGAACCCTATATTAAAGAATTACACAAGCATGTAAACTTATACGCCACCCTGAACAAGGCGCAATCATCCATGAGAAGAGTATTCCACCAACAACCCTCACAGGTTTTTGGCAGGGCTGGCCGTCCAAGGGGTTGTGCAGTCAGCTGCTTCTGGCCTACAAACCAACGCCAACTAACCCCCACTTCATCATTCTTCCCCAACTATCAATCTAGAGGCTTCTACTCCCAAAGGTCAGATAGGGGAAGAGGAGTTAGAGCCCGTGGACGCTACAGATACCCAACAGGTGAGATTTCCTACTTTTCACCTCTCTACGGTTTATCATGCGGGCAGGTTGTTACATTGTGTGGATATGTGCAAGACGCTGTCTTCAGATACATGGGTTCTAAACACGGTTCAGGGTTATTTCATAGAGTTTTATTCTCTCCCTACTCAAACAGGTCCTCCCCATCACCCGATAATGTCAAAATCTCAAAGGCTCCTTCTCGATTCAGAACTACGTTCCTTACTAACAAAAGGAGTGATTCAACCTGCTCCACACGACGAAGGCTTTCTAAGTTCCATATTCTTGGTCAAAAAGAAATCGGGAGAATTCCGCCCGGTAATCAACCTTCGCCAATTGAATACCTTCGTGATATACAGGCATTTCAAAATGGAAGGGATACATCTCCTCAGAGACATTCTCCGACCAGGCGATTGGTTCACCCGACTCGACCTCAAGGATGCTTACCTCTCCGTACCAGTACATCCATCCAGTCGACGTTTTCTCCGCTTCCCTTGGCACCACCGGATCTTCCAATTCACCTGCCTTCCATTCGGCCTGAGTTCCTCTCCCTGGTGCTTCACCAAACTGCTCAAGCCAGACATCTTTGAGCAAGGGGCTTTCGCTGCTTAATCTACCTCGACGACCTCTTACTACTCTGCGACGACACCTCCAGACTGCAATCACAGACGAACTACACATCCTCATTGTTCGAATCCTTGGGATTCGTCATCAACAAGGAAAAATCCTCGCTGACTCCATCCCAAATCATACAGTTTCTCGGCTTCGAGATCGACTCCTCCACCTGTGTTCTCCGCCTGCCTCAGTCCAAGTTAACCGCAATCAGGAAGGAACTGCGCAAGACGCTTCGACAAGTGGATCTACCTCTCCGAGGTTTAGCTCAGATTATAGGCCTGCTTTCTGCCTCCATTCAAGCAATCTACTCAGGTCCCCTCCATTATCGGGCCATGCAACGCTTGAAGGCTCAATTTCTCCAAACCCATCCATCATACGACCAGAGGGTCCCGATCACTACCGAGGTGAGGGAGGAACTCTACTGGTGGCTTCGCCACATGTGTGCCTGGAATGGCAAAGCAATTTTTGGTCCCACTCCGGACTTTGTGGAGGAATCAGACGCGAGCCTCCAAGGCTGGGGCGCAACTTGTCATACAACTTCCACCGGGGGACCATGGACCGATGCAGAACACTCTCTCCACATCAACTGTCTGGAATTAATCGCAGGATCGTTTGCAATCCGCAGTCTGGCCAATCATCTCTCAGGCTGTTGTATTCTCCTCCAAATGGACAATATCTCGGCCATTCAATACATCAACAAATTGGGCGGGGCCAGATCTCACACCCTATCCGAGGTGACAAAGGACATCTACAATTTTTGCTTCCAGTGCAACATAACACTTCGGGCAGAATACCTCCCGGGGGAGACGAACGTCACCGCGGATTGGTTCTCCCGACATTGGAGAGACGGCAGCGACTGGCGCTTACACAGGTCAGTTTTCCTCCATGTCTCCAAACTCAGGGGCCCATTTATTCTGGACCTTTTCGCCTCCCAGACGAATTTTCAAGTCCCACTTTCTTCAGCTGGCTACCAGACCCAGCATGTTCGGCAGTAGATGCCTTTCTTCAGAAATGGCCGACGACGGGAGCCTACGCCTTCCCTCCATTTGCGATGATCCCAAGAGCCCTTCTTCAGATTCGCAGACAACAGGTCACACTGGTACTACTCACCCCACTCTGGCAGGGCCAAGCATGGTTTCCGGATCTCCTGGACCTCTCCTGCCAACATCCCCTCCTTCTACCTCTATGGCCCAACCTGTTAGAGGACCCTCAAGGAAACCCTCATCCGATGATAATACAAGGTCACCTCCAATTAGTGGCTTGGACTCTTTCAGGGGATCCTGGAATTTCAGAGAATTATCGCAGAGATCTAAGGAACTTCTCTGGGATTCCTGGGCTCCTGGAACCAGAAGATGCTACCTTTCCTCCTGGAGTACTTGGTGCAATTGGTGCATGGAACGGAATGCCGATCCCTTTACAGCCCCTAGACAGTTTATACTGAATTTCCTCTCGCATCTGTTCGACCTAGGCCGTACATACTGGTCCATCAATGTGGCCCGGTCGGCAATCTCGGCAGCCCATGTTCCTCTACTCGGAGCTCCAGTGGGCCAGGACCCACTGGTTTGCAGACTACTGAGGGGCATCAAACTGGCTCGCCCCCCAACACCAAACTACTCCCATCTATGGGATGTTAACGTCATGATTCGTTTCCTTGAAACCTGGCCGAACAACAAGATCTAACCCTCCGTCAACTCTCGGCAAAATTCACCCTGCTACTCTGCTTAGTATCCTTCCGACGAGTGTCGGATGTTCAAGCATTTGACCATGATGCTATCAACTTTTCCCCCGAAGGTGTCACGTTTTCCGTGTCCAGACGGACAAAATCAAACTCTTCTTCGGTTTTTTACCCTTATTTCCCTAACTATCCAAAATTGTGTGTGGTATCACTTCTCTCTCATTATTTACTACTCACCTCCTCTCTCCGTTCAACCTCCTCCAGCCAACTATTGATCTCCTATGTCCGACCACATAATCCGGTGTCAACCATAACCCTTGCCCAATCCATCAGGGGAGCGCCGGCATTGGGAGCTTTCAGCGCTGGAGCCTCACTTCGGGACATTCTCCACTCAGCAGACTGGTCCCGGGAACAGACTTTCCGCAACTTCTATTTTTGTCTTGCTGTGCACGCTTCCTTAGCCCTTCTCGGGGAGCGTTAAAACAGCAAATACAAAGCCTCCTGTCATGTTATAAAATTGTAGATTATGATAACTTTAGTGTACCGATAATCTTAATTTTATTAATGACAGAAGGCGAGTATTTCCCACCCTTCACTCTCGTTCCTTTCCCCCTCCCTAAGGTCGCCTCTCTAGGTAAGTTCATCTAGACTAAGTAAATACACTAGGTCTTTCTACCATGGGGGGGGCTAAGGGTTACTCTCTAGGGGTGGATAGATTACACTTTGTTGGAGGCGGGCTTTAAGACGGGCTTTCTAATACCGAATGTCATATTTTATAAGTCCAATTCACGGATTAATCCTTGGTTTCGACTCTGATTTCTCATGAGGACAAGTTCAGTTGCCGTTCCATCTCAAGCATCATCTCAGCTCTCCAAGAAGACATGTTTACGTTCCTGTTCCCTCTCTAGCATTCGCTTTCTCATCTGGCATCTTGAATTCCTCATCTGGTTCATTTGCAGTTCCTGTTCCTATTTGTTCACAGCCAGAAAGAGGAAGTGACATCACAGGGAGGGACTCTTACACCTTGTTTTCTATTTTTTCTGATTGGTTACCCTGTTACTAAGTAAAAAAGTGCTGCTGTGAAGCTTAAGTAAAGAAAGACTTAAGTAAATACTCGCCTCCTGTCATTAATAAAATTAAGATTATCGGTACACTAAAGTTAGCATAATCTACAATTGTATGTGGATTTGCAGAGAAGTGACCTTTTGATTTGGATAAGATAAGATCATTGGATACTATATTTAAGGCAGCTTCTGTGGAGTGTAGGAATTTGAAAACAGACTGAAGATGCTCATTAGAGGAGAGAAAGTTATCCAAGCATTTACACACAATTATTGAAAGTAATTTAGAAGTTAAAGGATGAAGAGAAATAGGTCAGTAGGTTTTTGTAGATGGGTATTACACAAGCATGTTAAAAGAACAATTAAAGTATTCCAGCAGAATGGTTTTATTAATCTACTTTAACTCTTTAATGTGCAATGGAATGCTTTCCTGACAGCATAATCTGCCCTTATATGTCCTATATCCATGAAAATCTACATCTAATAATAAACCAGGATGCATCCTGCTAATATAAAAACAACATATTCACAAATCCTTATAACAAATCAATATAACAATACATAAAGCAACATATAAAAAATGACAAAACAATTAGTGATAAGGCTAGAAAATAATCATGCAGTATGCACATTCACATCAATAGTCTATAAGAGTCCCCAAACCCCCAAATGTTTTAGCATGCTATGGTGCATTCCTCAAGTGAATCTGTAACTATCTCCCCTATTCCCCATAAATTGCCCTTAACCTGATACCCAGTGACCAGTTACCTCATGTTTCACTGCAGCCATGGCTCATGCCACGTCTTAGCATAACTCACTCCCAACCTTAGATTTGCAGTCAAATCTCACTTTGGATCAAGAAGCTGTTCACCCATGCATTAAATATTATATCCCCAA